CCCCTTTGTGTGCGGCCCGCTCGAGCCCCGCCGGCTCCCGCTGCTTCTCTCTGCTCCGGGGCCGCCTTAGTGCCGAGCTCCCCGCGGCGCCCGGCGCCGGCTCCTTTCCCCTGCGCACACCTAATTCCCTCTGGCTCATCCTTACCGCATCCTTTCTCTCCCTGCCTTTCGCTCTCCTCACCCACCGCTTCTCCCTTCGGGCCTCTGGCTTCTGCTCCTTTCCCCGCGGCCTCCCGCGTCTTCCGGCAGTTCTCACTTTCCCTCCTTGCGCTGTGCAGCACTGTTTAAAAGTTAGTTCTTCACGGAGCTTAGAATTTGTATTTTTTTTTCATTTCTGCTGGGCTTTCGTTCAGCCTGGAAGCTGTTCTGTCTTAGTCTGTCTCTTCGTGGGCTTCTGCCACTCCACAAAAGTTTTGGCCCCGCAATCTCTTGCTTGCTTTTATTTTCTCTCTGTGCCTTTAATGTTTTGTTTCTTTTGTCTCTGTGCATGCTCTCCACTTTCCTTTAAGCACTTACTTCTAGCTCAGTGATCTTTTAGCTTTTCATTGTTCTGTCTTCCACGGAGGCTGCTTCTTCACAACTTTTCTAGTTCTGAGTCTCCTGTTGTCTTTGCATGCCTTTGTGTCTGGATAAGAATAATCCCAGAAGACGAGGTGGTTGGGGGATTTTAAGCTTGCAGGGATTTTTCTCTGGTTTCAGGAGAGGGAGTTGACTAACCAGTGCATGGAGCAGTGTCGAACAGTGTTAATGGTAACTGTGAAGCAGATGCACATAAAAGTAACATGGAGGTGGTTACCTCCTAAACTTTCAAACCTCTGAATACCTAGCACTTCAGGAGTAAAAACTGCCAAGAGGGATGGAGGCTGGAGACTCACTCAGACTTAGCTGAAAATATGTGAGGAGATGAATTAGATTTTCATGGTCTAGCACTTGTTTTTCAAAGCTATTTTACCTTGCTATAGAGGAATTAAGGATACTGTAACTTGTACTGTTACATTGATTCTTGGTGCATGACAGATTAACTGTTTTGTAATGACTAATCCTAAAAAAAAAAAAATCCTCCTTAAGGTATTATTTCCTTGTGTGAAAGCTTCGTACAGAGTGTATCATTTTCTCAATGTAATTGCCTCGATGAGGAAGGCATAACTTGGAAGTTCAGCTTACAATATCCCTGTATATTCCTTTGTGTATCTAAAAAGCAAGGTATTGTAGGTTATTGTCTGTTAAGTACCTGCTGGATGATTTAAAAGATGACATATCATAATGAAGTTTGAGTATTGGCAGTGATCTTAAGGTGCTAACTTGTTTTTGTACTCTGTGTTATGTTTTTTGGAATGGGGAGCAATCAAAGTTCGCTTGTTCGGGTTTTCAGTCGTCTTTAAGCTTCACATTCAGTAAAATACTAGATTATGTCAATGGGTTTTTTTGTCAAATACTATGAATTTTAAAATTATTTTTGGTTTGGTTGTGTAACATTTGATAATATTTTATATAATGTCACAACATTTTTATAATAGTGTGGGTTTTATAATAGCATGCTTTTAATAGTATTTTAAAGTGGTATTTAAGTTGAAAAGGGCAGAATTGGCAAATAAATAGAATTACCCTGAAGTAAACATCAGAGGATTCTAACTGAACTTGTTTTGCTTTTTCTCCCCCCACTTTCCTATATACAGAGACCTAAAGGACAGGGAAATAAAGGTAAGGTGATTCCTTGTATTTCTGTATAAATCTCTAATGTTGTCGTTTATGGAAGATAATGTGTCTTCAGACAGTCATGGGAAGAGGTTGTAGCTATAGGATGTCTTTTATTTCAGAGCAAGATGACAGGAAACTGTGCCAGAATGTTATTTCCCAGCATTTTTGCTGTGGCACAGCAGCATGTTGTTTTAAAAGGTTTTATTTTGCAAAAGATTAATGTCAAGTTGGACAGTAGCATACCTATTTCTTTTTAGCTGACTTTGTGATATGCTTGTGTAATCTCTTTAGCAGCACACCTTGGGCCTTTCTGTGCAGTGAATAGAATCATCAGGAAGAATCAGCTTCCTGAGTTTGCTAGACAGCAACCACGTGACTATTCAGTTACTCATATCTGTGAGCAGTAAACATCACCTTCCTTATTCTCAGAATTTTTGTGGCCTTTCTTTGGTTTAGAATCAGTATAGAATCTTCTGTCAATGTTTGTAGGCCTTTTGCTTTTTTTTTGTTTTTGTCAACATCTTAGTTTTTAAATATACTCAGTGGGGTTTCTTTCCAACAGAAACAAGGAACTAGTAACTGCTTAATATTCTTTTCTCTAATATTCTTGGCAACTCTGTGTAGACATCTCAGCTTGTATCTTGCAGTTTCTGGTCTGGAATTTGTTTTCTTACTAATGCTCTATTTGGAATTTCTTTCAACCTAAATAGTACACTCGTGCCCATTTAATTCTTAGCTGCTCAGCAAACTGAGCTATAGAATAGCATGCACACAGCTACCTTTGTGTGTTAATGTGCTTAAAAAACTTTTTTTTTTGAGCTCAGGTACTCTTTGCCCCCCTCTGTTCAATATCTGAACTAATCTAATTATTCTCTGTGAGCTGTCATTTAATGTTATGCACAGCGTGCTTACTCTGTTATTCTGTCTACGTGCAGATTATCTGTTTCTTGTTAGATATATTGCTTATGAGGTGGCAAATGGTTCCTAGATCTTACTGAATTTGGCCTGTTCTTTTTAATTTCTCTGCATTCAGAGAAATACGAACATGATTACTTCCCCAGACCTTCTTAGTTTGATCATTCTTGAATACTTTTTCTCTCATATTCTAATACCTTTACTTCCTCTCCCACCCCAAAGTGGAGTTTTTAATTACTTTGTGTTTTTGAAATAGTTTGTGTTTCTACCTTCCCTGTTGCCTTTAAATGAGAAGAAAAGTCAGATTCATTGTAGCAAGTAGTTTTTTACATTCCTTGGAATACCTTATCTTGGTTTTAGTGATGTTATTGAGATGCATCTGTTAGAGAATCATACAGGTAGTTATTGAACTATGTATGTATGAATTGGAGTTTAAGTATTAAGCATTTCTATTTGGGTGTTATCTTGCAGAATGTGAAAATGCACTAGTCAGCTTTACTTCATCTTATTTATGTTAGCATATTTTTGTGTTCTATAATTTGTCACTGCTGTGGAATGTTTGAATCAAAACACATCTCTGAGTTTGCTATCTAAGGAAGAGAGTTTTGCATTTCTGAACTTGAATTTTTTTATGGAGTGCATACTTTTAAATAATGAATACGTACTGTGTGTTCTCTCTTGGTGAGAATGTGACCTCACTGAAAACTATAGTGAAACACAACAATCTCTGTTCTGCTAATGATTTAGTGCAATGTCTGTTTAGTGAAACCAAGTTGCAATTTAGCATTAGTTTACAGGTCCAGATCATTGAGAATGGTATGGCCCTGTGTGGCATGAGGAGTTGGCTTTGTGTTAGATACTTTTTCAAGAGGATAAATTAAGTCAGTATCAGCAGTCCTTACTGACCACATGTTAGCAGACAATAATCTTTCAGGTGTCATGATAGGTCTCAGCTTAAAGGAGCTTTGTGGGAAGATGTGATACTGAATTAACAGACTAATCCGAAGGTAGTTCTGTGCATAGGAGTAGTAATGTTAAAGAGGATGATGAAGCTGTCCACATGTCTAGTAGAGATATGAGAGAATGTGATTGAGCATTAAGAGGGGTGTATGCATAGTTCACATTAAAATAAAAATATTAGACCTGCAAATGATACTGGGAGGTAGCTGATTTGTATTGTCTAGTAAAATGTTTTGGGCGCTTTATTCTAATTGATTATAAATTGGTGTACTGTGCTGTTACCCTCAACTAGAATTTGTGGGATTGAAGTTTTAGTGTGTACAACAGTAACTGTCCATCTGTTATGTCAGGTAATAATGTTGGGTTTTCAGCGACTTGAATGAGTAAGTCATCCAGTTGTGGAAGTTTTCTTATTCTAGTTCTCAACTCCCATACAGTTGACATAAAACATCAGAGCTGACATCAATCAAATTATGTTTTCTGGGGGAGGGAGTGGTGATGGGGAGAAACAAGGCCTTCCTAGAACTCTTCCCCCCCTTTTGTTTTACTGTGCCAGTGTATCACATCTGTTATATGAAGGTGCTGACTTGTTTTTACACTTATATGCATATAATAATTTTACTGTGTTTAAATCAAGAATTAAATGTTACATGTTTCTTCTATTTATTCTTCACATTAAGGTGAGACAATTTCTAATGAAAAAGTTATTCTTGTGCCTTTGGCCATCATTTGTGCATTTTGCAAGTGCTTATTCCAAGGATAGTAGCAGTTTAAAGACTACTAGCTTCTAAGTTCCTCTATTTGATGAGTTGTTTCTTCCCAGTATCTAATTGCCTTGTATGTTTTCACAGTGTTTGCAGAAGTATATATGGTATTTTTAGGGTTGTATTGATATGGATATTTTTAGTATCTGTAGATTGGTTTCAGATAGTATTCTTCATCCTTGTCCTGTTCAGTTGGAACACTTAATGTGAGATTTTTGGGAATGAGGCATCCTCTTAATCTGTTTGCTCTTGTTAAATGTCTGTGTGGGCAATGTTCTTCACTGTTAGCACGCTGTGTAAAGTTAGAATGAAAAGCCGAAGCAATAATCTTCTGGTGATGCTGTTTCACTGGGAAATGTATATACTTGCTAGGAAAGATGTCAGTGTAGAACTATTTCGTGTCACTGACTTAAGATTTCAGTATAAAATGAATAAGAGAATATGCTTGTAAATGTATTTTCTAAATATATTTTCTATGTTAGTTGTAATGTCAGACCAAAAATAATTATGTCTTCAGTGACCTTTAGATACCTGTGAAACAATAAACACAGCAGATGCAGGTTTTATGAAGATTAGCTGTCAGTATGAGGAGATTATTTTTGATAGGATACTACTCTTGACATACAGCTGTTTATTCCTTTACTTGTGGTTGCATGCTTTTAACAAATTTGTATGCTGCTGCCTATGTTTTTCATTATGACAGAATTGTATTTGAGAATTGTGCTCTCTGTACTATTTGATTAAGTCTGAGCAGTGGACATAGCATGGACTAAATGTTTTGAAGCTCATCCCTTGTGTAACAGGGCCAAATATAAAGAGGAATATAGTGTTCCAACTCATTAATATGTTACCATTGTGTGTAAACATAGGATGATTAATGACCTTAACTGAAACTCTTGATTGGGGGGGGGGGGAATCCAAACCAGCACCTAATGTTAATTTAAATGTGGTATTTTAGTAGGATTTTTTTTTATTTGTACTCATTTTTCCTGGTCATATTTGGCTGTAGCTAGTATAGAAACACACAGTGCCAGTTTGTAATAACCGAAGTGTCAGGTGTACTGGCTTTAAAATGAGGTATTCAAAACACAAGTTGCTTTGATAATTGCATTTTAAAAAAATCTTCTGTTTTTCTATGTTAAATTATGACTTTTTAACTCTTCCTACTGCTGTCTAAAGTTAATAAAATTATCCAGGATCTTTGTTACTCTTTGTGATTATTCCTTTGTCATTTGTTTCAGCTAGGTTCATTCACTGAATGCAAGTTTGTTTTAGAGGTGGTAGTTAAATACGAAAAAGGTTACTGAAGTGACTTGGTCCCGGCACTACTTGGTTTGTGATGTGAACTTTGGGTGGCAAGCTCTCTTCATCACAATAAAGCAGAAAAAACCCCACTCTTAAACACTAATTCCAGCAAAGTTGAAGTTTTAGTTATATGGTTGTATATGGTTGTCAGAAGCTTTTGCTAAAAGAGGGAAACTACGGAGTCAGCTCTGAACTCAGTGTCTCAAGCTGTCAGAAAATCTGTTTTGTTTTAAATTCTGTCATGGTTTCTAAGTGCACCTTACGTATCATTCTGAAACTTGTCTTTCCCCCACTGAACCAATTTGATAAATAACAAAAAGTTGCATTAATTTATTTTTGAGAAGAGATCTTCGTCTTCAAGTGGTACGGTGGCTAGTGCTGGTTTAAGTCCCTGTTCTGCTTTGCACCATGGGAACCAGTGGAACTTAGCAGAAACTTGTGCAGTGTGGCTTTGTTTGAATAATAGCCTGGGGGATGGTTGAGAGACACTTCAGCTAATTTGGGCAATTGGAAAATTCCAGGTAGGTGTAATGCCTTAGATGAAATGAAAGGTAATAGGAGGCCAAGAAGAGCAGGTAGGAAGCGATTCGAGCATATAGTGGTATATATGTTGGGAAAGGGTTGTAATCACCCTTTGGGACTTAAGCTCTTGTTTCTGTTTTGCTTTGTCCCTTCAGAGCTTCAGAGATGCTACTAATGCAGTGCAATTATGTAGGAAATGTAGAATTAAATATCTGAATAGTGGTGCCCTTCACAGTTGTCTTGGTGGGTAACTGCCTTTCCTCCTGGCAGGAGAAAGCTGTATGTTGCAGCTTTCCCTAAACCTATTGAATATGTCTGATCTGGTTGGTCTGCACATTTGCACTTGGTCTGGTACTTCTGGAATTGCTGGATTTACTGCCTGTGCAAATAAGGTGTGCCTGTAGTTTTTCCTCTGTGTGTTTCAGGAAAGAATAGTCTTGAGTAGTCTGCTCTTACTGCCATCTTTGCAGATCTGTCCTGAGATCTTATCATCGTGATCAATAGAATGAACTCTTTCCTTTAAATTGAAGTGGTGCTTAACAATAATACGTATTTCAATGTGGAGGTGATTAAGAAGTGTTAATCTAGATTAAAAGTGCAACATAGATCTTCGAGAGAGTATACTAATACAGATTTACTTTTAGTTTCAGTACAGAACGGTTCGATTCATCAAAAGGATGCAGTAAATGATGATGATTTTGAGCCATATCTAAGTAGTCAGACAAATCAGGTAAGTGAAAATTGTTTACTATCTTGACTTTAATTTTGGCATTCAACTGACTTCCAGACTTAGATTTTGAATGTTTCTTAGCATTACTTACTTGCCTGAATATTCATTAAAATATAATTTTATATCATATCTTGTCTTATCATATGATATCTTCAGCAGATAAAGTATTCTTAAGAATTCTGGAAAAGCTTCAGTTAAAAAGCGTGCTTTGATGTCTCCTGCTCTTGTGCTTGTGCTTTGACTTCAGAAAGATGCAGTTACAAGAAGCTTGGGGGGAAAAAACAAACCCAAACCCCAAAACATAAACCCCAAACCAAAATCCAACCCCTTAAATTTAAAACAAAATTATCATCTATTGGATGCAGTTCAAAACAACAGTTTTATTGGCTCTGAGAATATGTTAACTGCTTGGACATGATTTCCTTTGAAGGTGGTAGAAGTAGCTCACAGTTGATGGCATAATAGATTGAATCTTAATATTACTACAGCCTGGTACAAGTCTTCTGCCAAGAAGTTAATGACTTTAAGAGCTGTGAATTGCCTCTGTAGTCAAACGTTAATATGCATTAGGTTAAGTTTGTAAGTTGTAGTGGTCTTGAGAGAGGGAGAAAGTGCAAATTATTAGAAGACTGAGAATTTTGCTTGCCTTTTCTGTTGGTTTATTTTTTCCCAAATAATACAACATTAAGGAAGCATCAGCTAGAGGATGGTAATGTGCATATTCTTCCCCCCAAAACAACATCAAAAACCATATGGGGGTAGTCCTTCGAATGTCTTGAAGCTTTGTCTCAAGAATTAAATTCTGTGATTTCCCAGGAGTCTTATCTGGTGTAGTACTGATTTAATACCCATTTTCAATAGCATAGAAGTGTTAGTTTTATTGTTGTTCCTACTGAAACAAACAGGCATCCTTGCATCCCTTTCATTATAATGTTCTATTCATGTTTCCACTTAGAACGGAGAAATTTGACTGAATGTAAGAATACCAAAACTTTAAATCTTAATTGCAGCTGTTTTTCTTCAGTTATGAAAATACAGTTTTTGTGACTTGTTTTTTAAAGTAGCTTGTTAATGCCGTTGACATGAGGCATTTTAAACCTAGCTCAGTACCTAAAAATAATGTTATAAAAAAATGGGCCCCTTTAGTACTTTGAGAAGGTCCCTTGAAAAAGTTGTCCATATCTGACAGATACCTTGTTCATATTTTGTGGAGAAAAATGGTGGAAGTTAAAAATGCATTCATATAACCCTTTAAAATGTTTTGGATTGTATTACAGGGTTTTTTTTTCCCCAAGTATAATTGTCAATATTGCTGATGTTTGTTTTGTTTTCTTGCAGAGTAACAGCTATCCACCAATGTCAGACCCATATATGCCTAGCTATTATGCTCCATCCATTGGATTTCCATATTCTTTAGGTGAAGCAGCATGGTCAACTGCAGGTGACCCTCCAATGCCATATTTGACAACTTATGGACAGATGAGTAATGGTGAACACCATTACATACCTGATGGTGTATTTAGTCAACCTGGGGCATTAGGAAATACCCCTCCATTTCTCGGGCAGCATGGATTTAATTTTTTTCCTGGGAATGCAGACTTCTCTACTTGGGGGACAAGTGGATCTCAGGGACAATCAACGCAAAGCTCTGCTTACAGCAGCAGCTATGGCTATCCACCTAGTTCTCTTGGGAGAGCCATAGCAGATGGACAGGCTGGATTTGGCAGTGACACTCTGAGCAAGGTGCCTGGGATTAGCAGCATTGAGCAAGGCATGACTGGACTGAAAATTGGTGGAGATATGACGGCTGCCGTCACAAAAACTGTAGGTTCAGCTCTGAGCAGTACAGGTATGACAAGCATTGCAGCTAACAGTGTGCCCCCAGTTAGCAGTTCAGCACCTAAACCAACTTCATGGGCTGCAATTGCAAGGAAACCTGCTAAACCTCAGCCGAAACTCAAGCCTAAAGGTAACGTGGGCATTGGGGGCCCTGCTGTACCGCCGCCACCTATAAAACACAACATGAATATTGGAACTTGGGATGACAAAGGGTCAGTGGTAAAAGCACCCCCCGCTCAACCAGTACTGCCTCCTCAGACTATAATCCAGCAGCCTCAGCCATTAATTCAACCACCACCGCTGGTGCAAAGCCAACTGCCTCAACAGCAGCCTCAGCCACAGCAACCGCAGCAGCAACAAGGACCTCAGCAGCAGGCCCAGCCTCACCAGTTGCAGCAGCAGCAGCTGCAAAACCGCTGGGTAGCTCCTCGTAATAGGGGTGTGGGCTTCAGCCAGAACAATGGAGCTGGTAGCGAGAACTTTGGTTTAGGTGTTGTATCCGTCAGCTCCTCACCTTCTGGTGTGGAAGTGCACCCAGTGCTGGAGAAACTAAAGGCCATAAACAACTACAATCCCAAAGACTTCGATTGGAATCTGAAGAACGGACGTGTGTTTATAATCAAAAGTTATTCAGAGGACGATATTCATCGTTCCATTAAGTACTCTATCTGGTGTAGTACTGAGCATGGTAATAAGCGCTTGGATGCTGCTTACCGTTCCCTGAATGGAAAAGGCCCGCTCTATTTACTCTTCAGTGTGAATGGCAGTGGACACTTTTGTGGCGTGGCTGAGATGAAGTCTGTTGTGGACTACAATGCATATGCTGGTGTCTGGTCTCAGGATAAGTGGAAGGGGAAGTTTGATGTCAAATGGATCTTTGTCAAAGACGTTCCCAATAACCAACTGCGGCATATTCGCTTGGAAAACAATGACAACAAACCGGTTACCAATTCGAGGGACACTCAAGAGGTACCCCTAGAAAAAGCCAAGCAAGTGCTTAAAATAATTGCTACTTTCAAGCATACCACCTCAATCTTTGATGACTTTGCACATTATGAGAAGCGTCAAGAGGAGGAGGAAGCCATGCGTAGGGTAAGAGATCAGTGTCATTATAGTAGCTCTCCTGGTTTTTCTGGGTTTGGAAACCTTGTTTTTCATTCATCTGGAATTTCTTAGTGTGAGTGTTGAATCAAAGTGATGGTTTTTTACCCAAGGTGTCTGTACTTAATATAACTGGCTCCTAATGAAAAGATTTAATTTGTTGTGACTTATTTGTTAGCACAGGCATGTATTTAATCACAATACTTAGGCCCGAATGAGGCGACTTCTGACGTGTTCTACTTCTTCAGTGTAAACAAAAACTGAATTGAGTGTATTATCTGTAACTGAAGTCTTCTAGTTCAGTTTTTTGCTGTTTCTGGGTCTCACAAAAGGACTAGAAATTACTGAAACAGCTTGCTTTCTTTAGCATATCATTTCAATTCAAATTCTGCTTTAGTGAAACGTTAACAGCATGAGTACTGTGAAAAGCAGGTTTTCCCCTTGATGCAGTTTGTCATTTGTACAGTTGTGAAACAGAGAAGTGATATAGCGCGTACTCTCCCTAATCATAACTTGTGTTCACCACTGGCCACAATATTTACTTTTGTTATATTTGCTTTCCTTCCAGACTTGCTAGTATCTGTAAATACATGATTTGTCTCATGGTTGCAAACATTTCAGGAGCTATTGTACCAGTTAGATAATATGCAAATATTGAGAAAAGGGAGTTTGCATCAGTGCAGTTTGGTGGTAGTAATCTCTGTTCATCCTGTCTTGCCACCCAGTGAATAAAAAAACCCCATGGTCTAGGGTTTATGCTAATTAGGGGCCTTGTGACATGTGGAGTTGTGAATTTGGTCACTTGAAGCTGATACAATTCGGCTTCATAAGAATTTCACCAGCTTTGCGGTTTCCTTACACCTCATGGATTTCTAGTGCTTGCGTTGGCTTCACTCTTAGACATTCCTAATCCTTCAGCGTGTATGTTGCGCCTCCTGTAGACCAGTGTTGTGCATATCCAAAATCAACTTTGTAGTTTTATTGCATGGCTCTGCAAGGAGTTGTCATGTTGGAAGTTTTCTAATGTTTGCAGACAAGATGAATATCCCACTTGGGTGTGTAATGCCTTTGAATTATTATTATTTTTTCTGAAAAGGAAACTGAGTAATGCCCTAAACTGTTACTATTGCTTCCATGCCATCTTGATGATGGGACAATGGACCGCATTCTTAACTAGTATTTAGTGTGAGGATCAAACTTGGACATTATTAGACTTTAGTACACTTGATCAAGAGCAGCACTGCCAGCCGGTCAAGGGAGGTGATTGCCATGGTTCACCCTCGCTGGTGTGACCTCACCTCGAGTACTGTGTGCAGTTTTATATTGCGACTGTCCCGTGCAGGGCCAGGAATTGGACTTTAATGATCCTAGTGGGTCCCTTCCAACTCAGTATATTCTGTGATTTTGTAATGTTTCAGGAGGACTGAGAGGATGTATCTCTGTAGCCTCTGTGTTTCAAAAGTCTGGTCCAAAGTGTACCCTAGGAAACAGCCCTTGGAAAAAAAGTGGTCCAGGCATACTTCAAGAAGGAAGTATTGAAGGCGCAGGAGCAGCTGTCCCAGTGTACCTAAGGCGAGGCTGTGGGGAAGGCGAATGGCCTGGCTGAATAGGGAAACTTTACAGGAAATTATGAAGGAAAGGAGAGTTTACCAACTCTGGAAAAAAGCGCAGGCTACTCAAGAAGAGTTCAGGAATATAGTCAGGTCATGTAGGAAGAAAATTAGACAAAGGCACAACTTGAATTAAATCTGGTCAGTTCTGTCAGGGATAGCAAAAAGTGTTTGTATGAATAAATCAATAGCAAAAGGAAGTGCAAGGAAAACCTTCATTCCTTGTTGGACACGGGAGGGAACAGAGTGACCCAAGATGAGGAAAAGGCTGAAGTACTTAACACCTTCTTTGCCTCAGTTTTTAATAGTAGGGCAGGTTGTCCTCAGGAAATCTGGACTCTAGAGCTGATAGACAGAGATAGGAAGCCAAAGAGCCCCCCTGAAATCCGAGAGGAAATGGTTAGAGATTGACTTAACGACTTGGATCCTCACAAATCTATGGGATCAGATGAAATCCGTCTCAGAGTGATGATGGAGCTGGCGGAAGAATTTGCCAAGCCTCTCTCCATCATTTACTGACAGTCGTGGCTCACTGGGGAGGTCCCGGATGATTGGAAGTTGGTGAATGTCACACCAATCCACAAAAAGGGTTTCAAGGAGGATCTGGGAAACTACAGATCTGTCAGCCTGACCTCAGTGTCTGGCAAAGTCATGGAGCAGATCATCCTAAGCGCAATCACACATCACCTACAGGATGGGCAAGACATCAGACCCAGTCAGGATGGGTTTAGGAAGGGCAGGTCCTGTCTGACCAACCTGATCTCCTTTTGTGATCAGGTGACCCGCCTGGTGGATGAGGGGAAGGCTGTGGATGTAGTCTGCCTGGACTTCAGCAAAACCTTTGACACCGTCTCCCATAGCACACTCCTGGAAAAGCTAACAGCCCACTGCTTGGACAGGGACACTCT